AAGTATAAATATACACCACTTTTATCTTTCTGAACTTGCACTTTCTTTCGGAGGTGTTTCGTTGAACGATACATTATTTCTACTCATTCAAAGGTTGTAACTTCAGTTATTTCTACTTGAATTTTTTCAGTTTTAATTTTTGGTCTAGAAAAATTTCAGCTGCATTAATTTTCAGCCAAATATTTATTATTACATTTATTTACTTCCTCTGTGATAAGATAAGTAGTGAAACGTAGTTGTATAAGGAAGGAATTTCAAATGAAATGCTTGTGGAGACTGAAGATATAAAATCTGATAGATGTTGATGTATGTGAAGTGCTTTGTGATGCTGATAGACATGGTCATTAGTGAGTACCTTTTACTAATTACTGTTTAAAAGATTTCAGTGGGTGATAACGAAAACTGTTATTAGTCGAATGTGATTCTTCAATCTTAGAGGAATGCATATCACCTCGACTACTGGATAAGGTTTCCCTTATACTGAACTCATAAAGATTACCATTAAAGTACCAAGGCACAAAAAGTGACTTTCTCAAGCAGTGGAAACTCTCTACAAAAGACTAACTTAGCAGTACCTAAGTTAGCGACTTGTTTTCACCTAGTATGATAGAAATCAGCTGATAGGTTTTGCAACACCGTTACAAGACTTCTTCGAAGATTGCAGACCAGTGGGACTGATAAGTCTCAACAAGCATGAACAATCAGGGCTGAGACTTACAGCCGAATAGCTTCTATAGGCTAAATTATTATCTCACCAGAATGATCAAAATGTGTTCCTGATCCATAGGTTTCAGTGAGAACATATGATGACTCATTAACATGATACATCTGAACTAAAGTGTTTGTCTACTGGCAGGTTAACATAATGTTGTTCTGTGCAGTACATGATCTGCTCCAAAATATGACATTTTCTAAATTATTTTATGCACTGGACAACTAGAAACACTGTTGTTTGTGCTGTATTCGATGGTCTTAGTTCTATGAAATAAAAATTTGCCAACGAGTGAGGATTCACCATGAACAGAGATTATAGATTTGTTTTAATAAAAAACAACAACAAGAAGAACGAAATACTCATCATTTCGTAGGAAAATATTCAAATTATTGTGCTTGTGTTGATGACCATCTCGTATTTAGTTGTGATCAGCTGACAGAAACTGATAGAAATTCATACTGTGTAGTTCTCTTATGGTTGATTTCCAGTTGTCGATAGTTAACCATAGGCGGTCAAGTCACAATTTCACATCACTTTCAGAATACGAAAATCTATAGTCTAACCATATAAGGATCACTGTCAGTTTGATGAGTAATTCCGAGAGATGAAGTGTTGACATGTTCATCTCTAAGACAAGACAAAAGTATTCTCAGTGCAGTATTAACTTCCATTCTTAAATTCCACATATGTGTAGTATGACTACAGACAAACAACTGTAGCTGAGAGTAAGAGAGAGCGTTTCCCACACATTTGATTTCTTCACAATAATCAAGCATACTTCACCTCTCACTGCCCTCATCGTTTCTTTAAACATTACACGACTTTGTTATTTTATATGAGGGAATTTCACACAAGTGTAACAACATTCCCTTTGGAAATCTATTCTTATGAATAAACCACTTCCTCCTCTCAAAAATATTTATAACCTAAATGAATTTCGAATAGAGGTGAGGAGTTCAGTGTAGTTCATTGAGTGATTGGTGTCAATGGGCGTGAACATTGAACTTTTTTTATTGGAACTGGCAGCCGTTGGTGGGCAATTCAAAGGCGCGAATGGTTCGATCGCTTGCAAGTTGAATGAAGACTTGAACAAATACGAATAAAAGTACTTTATAATTTCATTTGTAATTTACATTTGTTTGTAGACTTTGTAGTTGTCTTCACTTTAATTGCCAAACAATATAATTTCGTTCAAAGAATACTGGTGTTTGGATTTAAAGTTGAAGGACATACATAGTATTTATCGGTTCAATCGCCTACGTCTTCATTTCAATAGGAACTTAGGGCTAAGTTCCTTGACATTTGGATATTAGGATAGCTTCAAACGACTTATCTTCTTTGCATTCTTACTATCAGTGTATGGAACATGGATGGCCTGCAAAATTTGGACTACCGATATCACATTCTGAAAATTCCATACAGGTACCAAAACTACGGTGTTGAATCAAGCTGTAATCAAAAATAAAATATATGTATGTGTTTACGACTTTGTTTTAACGTGTTCATATACGGACTCGCTCCAACGACATTTTGCTCTCCTCCCTTGTGCTCCCCTCACTCACATACCTTCAGTTCGTAATACAGCCATATTCGTCAGATAAATCCTACATCCCTTCCCATGTATAATCTCGACCTTATATTTTACTCAAAGATACTGCTAAGCAGAGCACATTTCCAATTAACTAAGTCTTTATATTTGTGTTTTGTCGTCTGTACTTACAGGTTAGATAGAGTACTGATCCATTTGGGTACACAGATAAAGTGGTTTTAGTAAGGCCTAGTAGAGTGTATCTTACCGGCAGCACCACCAGTACCTCACACACCCAGCCAACATCTAATAGTGTAAACAGAGTAAGTCGGATAGATGGACTAAAGGTGGTTTACATAGGACTAGTATGACAATTCTAGAAGTACTTTTACTTGCAGCAGTGGAAATAACTAACTCTACCAACATTTTCATAATTTAAACTTTTGTTAGGTACTTTACTCTTTTTTGTGTGTTGACCTAAAACTTTCACTCTGTCATCCGTTGTTTGCTACATTCTTTTTGTTAATTAGAATATCATATTTCTAATGTTAACTTATATCTGTTATTGATATTATTTTATCATAATTCTTTTTGTCACTGAGATTTTATTTTAATTCAGGGGCCTAATTAGTGAGTTATTTTTGCAACTATTGCTATTCATACTTGAGGTATTCCTCTTCAATTCTGAATCTCACACAAACACGATAGAAATATTTAATAGTGCTGTTGTTTGCCGTGTTTAGCGATGGGGAGGCGCATTCCTAAGTTTGGTATAAATATCCAGTGAAGACTCAGTTTGCCATTGAATTCAATTATAGCTAAAGTTTCAGAATGAACATCTACATCTCATTCTTATATTTCACAGCTTTGTTTGCTGTTGTTTACTCAGGTAAGCTTTCTACAAGTGTTTTGATCGTCTTTTGTGCTGATTCACCTCATTATTTTTATACTCACTTCGATGACAGTCAGTGAGAACAATGTGTTCCAAGTAGATGGCTGACTTTAGTGAACATATATTTGTATCTCATCTGACAGTTGGAAGTTTCTAGCGTGTTAGACTGCTTTCGTCATGACTCAGTTGCGTTTATTGGTGCAGTGTTCTGAACGTTATTGTGATTTGGGTGGTGCAACAAAGATTGTTGATTACTTTCCCGCTTGTGTATGAAGCTTGCGACCAAGGTGACAGTCTCATGGTAATGACATACTTTGCAGGCCAATATCACTAAAATAGGCTATTGTTCATCTCATACGATATTACACAATGGCTGCAGCTCACCATTACTGGATGTCAATACGAGTGATACCATTCGGCATATGGTTGAGATGTTCACGGTTAGAGATTGGTGAATTCTGCCATTTCCTGACAACTTAAATCTAACACTTTAGTTATAAGCACTTGGCATCGAATGGGACATTCTGAATTTTTTCATCAAACGTTAAGATTGGTGCACCATGTGTGTCTGACAATGACGGCTGTACTCCTACATAGTATTATACAGTGTTGCCAACACATCATGATCTCTCAGAATTTTTGAATTGCGATCAACTGAAATCCTTCCAAGTAGTTCAGTCTTGTCATCCTCACTGTCTGAACTCACAGTGCTTTGTTTGACGCTTCATCGGGTCGTTAGCCCACATCGTCTCAAACAGTTATCCACGGCTGCTCCACATTCAGGAGATCTTCTATCTGATGTCGGTCTATGGTGTGATCAGTAGAACCATTCAAATCCTTATGAACGAAATACAGAATTGATTTTGTGGAGTTTTCTAGACTTTGTTGATCGTCAGTTAATTAAACTGATAGTACAATTAACTTGTTGAATTCACTATTGCTTTCTTATTTCACTTTTATTTTCCAAGTATCTCCTCCATACGGTTAGTTCCATATTGATATGATGTATCATCATATTTTATGTGACATTTGCCTTGCATCTTGGTTGATGAACCGTTCAATAACCTTGTCCTACTGCAGACTTCAGTCTAGGCAGTCATAACCAGACATAAATGACTGGATAAATGATTATGACAAAACTCACTCGAATAGCTCCTTCTCGTTCTGTCTGTCTCTTGACTAGAACACAGACTATCAGACTTAGGTTGTGCTATAATATTTTTCTTACCTGAATAAATCGACTTTGATGAATTGGGAAATTGTCAAACTTATTTAAATAAATGACTGCAGGTAATCAACTTCAAGGCGAACAAGATGTGAATCTTTTCACCTTCGAATTCCAAGATAACAATTCTACTGCTACTACTACTACTAATAATAATAATAATTGTCTCAGCAAACTGAAAGAGTATAGGAAGTGGTCGAGGTACACACGTACCTAAGTACAGCCTTGTTCTGGTTACACTGAGTAAAGAAATAATCATCAGTGTCTCACTGGTTTCACACGTTTTATGATCTGTCTATCATTCTACTCCGATGGTGTCAGTGAAGATGCAACTGGGCATTAACATGAGTGGGCGGTTACTCAAGATATGATGTGTTAATGTCAAACCTACCATTGGGGGCAACAGAAAACCATATTGCAAACAACTGTCACAGTGATCAACTTAGTGATTTGCTGTATCAACTATGTCGTATTTTTCAATATATCTTAGCTATTCATTTTGACAATTGATTTAAAAATTAACGATTTTCTAGAGGAAGAGCGGCAAAAAGTAATCAAAGTGATAATTCTCGGGTATTTGAAGAATGGAACATGTTACCAGGGTTGGTACACGGTACTAAAACATGAGGTTATAACGGAAATGAAGCCAAAAATATGTAATGCGGTAAGTTAACTAGAGTTTACATCTTTCAGTGCGTTTTATTATTTGTACGGTGACCGAGCATGACCTGATGAATCCTAACTCAGTCTTCAAGTTTTGCTTATGCTGAACTCTTCAAGGATTCTGTTCTCTGGTTATGTGTTTGTTTCAGTACGCAAAAGATTTATAAGGCTATTAATTAGTTCCTACTTTTGCCACAATGTAACCTGGGGATTGAGTCGTTAACAGATATGTCTTTCCACTTAATTAACACTAAATCGCAACACCGGCTGTCAGAGGAACTAATCACTATTTCGTATTTACAGATTGATCAACGTTTTGACGGCATTCTATCCAGACTTTCAGTCGGCTCTGAATACTGTGGGATAGACATATCTGATTATCCTAATCCAGATGGAGCTATTCGTGTTTCTGTTCACTACCATATACCCGTTGATAAGCTGCGACGACTCAATAAAAAGTTGTCAGAAGTTGATATTCTGGGAATGTTCACCAAGCATCTAGTGGAGAGTCAAATATCCGATGAGTTTTCACGGAAGATAGAAGGTGAGTTTTCTTCTGATATTTTACACAAAACAATGGCTCCATATGTATTCAGGTGATTCCAATTTGTTTTTCCAGGACAAACGTTGGGAAAACTGACTCGACATTCTTCTGCATTTGATAAATATCTGTGGAATTTATCGGCTAATCATTCCTAACCTTTCAGATAACACATTCATCACGTATCTTTGTAGAAGTTATTAATTCATGGTGAATGTCATTGCATGTAGTGATTGTTACCTACAAAGACGAGGAAACCGCTCTATGAAACGTTCTCCATCAGTTTGAATTGCCGGATAATCTGGACTTCATCCTCAATATTGAGCGAAGATTTGACATTCAGATGCTTATTCTGTAGAATACAGAGCTGAATCAACCAAACAAAGATGTTTCGTTACTTGACTTTCTGCCTAGTATTTATATATATACGTGAGATTCGTGGGCACTTACAATTGTCAAGATGTTTGCCTCATTCAAGTGGTGAAAAGAAGAAATTTTCTATTCACTTCTTCAATTAATAAGCAACAGTGTTGGAGTTTCACTAAGTTGACTTACTAAAACAATGATAGCCGTGTGCATAAAATCTATGCCTTTAAGTAGAATTTGTGCCTAGAAAATCATGAATCAAAATTAACGCATTTCTTTGTTCACAGTGAATGAATGTAATCTTTCCAATTGCTTGTTTCAAACATTCTAGTTTCGGATATACTGATAGGTGAGTTAATAAAATCCTGTTTTATTTCATCTAAGATTCAGAATTACCGATGCAGGATAAGCATTGATTAGTTTGTTGTAACTTCTGAATCCTGGAATTCTTAGCCCAAAGTTTTGAGCACAGTAGATTTCAGTCAACAAACTGCATACACGCTCAGTCACTGACACGTGGAGATTGTGCTACACTCTGCAATTCGTGTAAACTAATTACCTCGTTGAGATGAACTCATGAAGAGGACGAAGTGAAGACAGACGGTAAACAGAACGAACGTTCAAATATGATTGACGTTAGCAACTGGCAATTACATAAAACTATTTTAAGAATATCAGATTGCATGCTTCAGCATAATTACAGGCTGATTTTTCTGTTTTATTATCGATGAATCATCACAAGCTGCTCCACAGAGAATTGATTGTGTAGACTTATTTCGAATTCACTGATCGTCACCTAAGTAATTATTGCTTTCTAATTTCATTTTCATTTCCGAACCATTTCCTGATTACGGTTAGTTTTATATTGTTGCGATATATGATCACATTTAATATGACACTTGTATTATGTGACTAATTGCAAATGTGATGGATGTGGCTGACCGCTGTCAGTTAACCAGATAGCAATCAATGTAAAACGGCGCATCTCAACAGAGTAGTTGAAATAATTGCTTTCCATAAGGATTTCAAACACACTTGTGTCAAATTCCCTCCTATAAAATAACAAAGTCGTGTAATGTGTAAAGAAACGTTGAGGGCTGTGAGAGGTGAAGTATGCTTGATTATTGTGAAGAAATCAAATGTGTGGGAAACGCTCTCTCTTACTCTCAGCTACAGTTGTTTGTCCGTAGTCATACTAGACATATGTGGAATTTAAGAATGGAAGGTAATACTGCACTGAGAATACTGTTGTCTTGTCTTAGAGATGAACATGTCAACACTTCATCTCTCGGAATTACTCATCAAACTGACAGTGATCCTTATTTGGTTGGACACTGTGACAGAGGTAATTGATGTGCTATCAAAAGGAAACACTAATGTGTGAAGATAGTGCCACAGATAGACTTCACCATTTGATCGCAGGTCGACTTCTCCGTGATGCGTGATGTTGTGAAAGGTTTCATAACACAGCAGTGCGCATCCATTCACTTTGTTTAAAGCAGAGTTCTACCGTTATGTTTATTCAATGTTATTCATATGACTTTGTTCTGAGTCAAAACGGATGCTACTACAGCATTTATAATTTGGAAGAAATTAGACGGAATTGTAGATGTTCTGGGTTCGAAGAAATGCAAATGCACATTTCGCTGTTTTCATTCACGAGAAGATCACACGTGAAAGGCAGAGAGAGGTTTATAAGAACCGAGATTTGAGCAGTAATCACTAGGCTGGAGGATCTAACTCTAGATGAAAATGATTAGGATATCTTGGAGCTCGCCATTCATGCAGCTTCCACAGGTTGTCCATGAGGAAATTCTCAGAATTACAATTCGTCAGTGACATAAATCGCCTAAAATTCATACTTAACATTGTCTTATTTGATTTCACTTAACTCTAACAAAGACGATTTTATGCATTGTGAAATGGTGGAAAGAATTAGTTAGTCGGTTGCTTCTCGTATGTGTGATATCAACTGTAGATATATTTCTGACTTTCGAATTCCGTACCAAATGTTCAACCTTCCTCCTATTTTCGCTTACAGAAGCAACTTCTTATAGACGGAGGGTAATGGGTGAGTGAATGAATCTGTGGGCAATATTTTGACCGAGAATTAGTTACTGTAGTGAACAACCACGACATATTCCACTGGCTGCTCAGTCTAATCTTGAAGCGATCACGAGCGCGAACATTATGTTATGCATTCTATTCATATTTAGCTTTGCTAGTATTTACTGAAAGATCGAATTCCACAAAACACCTATAATCTCCATGAAACCGTTTTGTATGTTTCAGTCCCATTCCAATCGTCGTTTGACGTCGAAATATTAGCAATTGAAACCAAGACAATGAGAGTCATTCCAACGAATAATAGCTGTGTGGTCGACGAACATTGTCACTGTGTCATTTCGAAGAAATATATGTGTTTGACAGAAGAAATAGCTAAACAAATAATAGTCAGTGCATGCAGATGTCATCTGAGTCTTGTATGATAAGTGCGTTGAATCTTCGTTCACAGAAACATTTCGAGAAGTTACTCCTGAATACAAAACCAGCAGCGTGATATGTATGAATATTTAGTTTATCGTTGTGATTGTTGTCTACGTGACAGTGTTACTGCATCAAGCTGATTTTGATGTCAAAGTGTGAGATGGGAAGCGCTATGTGTCAATGTGTCATTTGTGTGAGTGAGAAGCATTGTACTTTCTTGGAGTTTGATAGGAATTTCCGATGGCAGAATGCAACGAAGTGGACTAATTAGAAGGCCAGTTTCAAACTGTGTGTGACTGACGCATGCACACTGATTGTATTGAAAGCGTAAACACTAATAGAGCTTGTGAGCAGAATGTTAGCGTGAGGATCTTCGCTATCAGAAATCAGACTTGCTACGCTTTCGTTTGAGCGTGCTTGCTTTAGTAGGAGGGTGGTGGTCTATCACAACTTGGATTTCTTCACGCAGTTGATTTTGTATTAGGGGCCTGAAGGAGAGTTGTCATGATATCAGATGTTACGCTTGACCATCTGATGGACGCAGAAATCAGTCTCTCATAGTATTTACTGCCGACTGTTAAATGACACTGCACGAAAAGATAATGGAAAGGAAAGAAAATGGCGTACAAGTATGCAGCTTCACTAATCGCAAATATTTCTCAGCATTCCCAATCACATCCAGCTAACTATTCTCACATCTCTTATATTCATTCACATACTAAGGTTGTTGTTTCTGTTTACTATACAGGATAAATGAGCAACTTAGATTTCCAAGTGATATAAGTCACTAAATATATATTCATATTAAATCTCTTTCCAGACGTCAAAACCAACTTGTGCGAACCTGTTCCAGATGACCACAACTACGATCCCAGAAAGGTTATATTCCTGGATGGGAAATAATGCACTGGTGAGACACGCAAAGTGGGCGATTAGACTTTCCTTTCTTTCTGTAGTCGAGATAGTCTCTTTACTTATTTTCATTAAATAAACTTAAATCAATCGTAGTAATAGTGACTTTGCTTTCAATATTACACACATATGCATTATTGAAAATGCTCGTGTCCCAATTGGCCTTCTTCTTTCTTTACTTCTGACGTGTTCGAAAATAGAAGGAATATTGTTGTCTAAAGATAACAGCTCAACATCAACTCATTTCGGATTGAATTTTCTATGTGTATGTCATCAAGGCGATAGTGTCTGTGAGTGGACGAACCGAAATATGAAAGAGTTGTATGCATCAGAGGAAAGGTAAATTTCCTTAACACTGATAGTTCGTGCACGACAGATAGTTATCTTTATGCGAATTACTGTAATATCTATCCTACCTTAATGAATGCCTCCATATTTCTCCTCATCAACTTCCGAAAATGCATTTCCTTCCTCATATATGCATTGTATGAGAAAGGATAGAAATTCACCACGAGGTGTTGTGATTTAGTGATTTATAATTCACTTGTTATGCATGTGTAGATGGAGAGTTGAAAATGAAATGATTGTTACAGCCTAACAATATCCCGCACAATTCCCACACGAAATGTTGGTGATTTCTCACCTCAACTGTGTAATTTCCAGTCGGCGAACTCGGTTCTGTGTATTAACAGTTCACCAAGGCAGACAACTGGAATTCGGGTATTTTGAACCACTCCGAGTATCTGGCTTCAGTCAAACTGAGTACACTCCAACCACTGATGAGGTTGGAGTGAAACGAGCGAGACTGACGTCCGGTTTGTATATGACTTCAATCTGACTAGCGAGCACCACTGTTTGAATTGGATGCTTCCCAGCTACTCATATTCATCATTGAGTAGTGTATGTGGCAAGTCAAATATTTCACTGTCAACATCATTATGAATTATTCACGTTTGGTAAGGCTTGTAGTTCCCTCCAAACAGCATACATTGATACACACATGGATCAACAGCCTGATACTTTCTTTTCAGGGGACTGTCGTATTGCTTAGTGAAACCCATGTGTTCACTAGCTGATTTGCACAAGTAACTAGGATTCATACATTTGAAAATACACCGTTTGGTAATTGAACACACAGGAAATTTACTCGCTGTATACTGACATCGGATTGTGAACAAGATGAGGGATGAGCGAGAAGGACCGCAGTAGTGATGATGCATCAGAAAATCTGCCGAATGTCAAACAGCTTGTCAGGCACAGCAGTGTTCGTATTCTCCAAATATTCATCAAGCGAACTCAGGCATACAGCAATGACAAAAGTACAGTTGGTTATCATCCGTTGAATGAGAAGCAGCAGTAGAAGTAGATTAATGAATGTGGACATCACGTGCATATTCATACTGGATTAGAAGGCAAACAAACAAGCCCATATCACTCACCGTCTCACAAACACACTGGACGTGAGCATGTAAGAATGCTTACAACTCACCACAGAAAGTGAATAATTATTTTGATTTGTCAATCTACTAGCACTGCAAGCTGTAGAAGTAATATCAAATCACTGGATGATTCATCAGAACTACGAACTTCCCTCTCCTCGTTATATCTGCTTTGTCTCCATATCTCATCAATATAGGAACAATCTGTCGACTGTTTTACTCACTGCATTACACACGACCAGTCATAAATTACATTTAAATCAAATATACCAATGTCGGATGAATGCTGTATGCAGTGAAGCTCATAACACTAGACATGCCAGTTGTCATGAATTGGCACACTTGAAAGATTTCCTCTATATGGTAAATTGCACCAAGTGTGTTTGTCAATGCAGATATCGCCTTCGTCTTCATATCCACCCACTAATAAGAGATCACTAGTCACGATGTCACGACATGCACTCATCCATGCTAATCCACAACTGCACACACCACTCCAACTGTAATATTGTAAATGCATAGAAGTGATGGAACAGAAGTAATGTCAGAGAATTGCAAAACGCCTAGAACTAATATCA